TGGTGGTTCAAACCCACCAGCCACTCCTCGGAAGGAAGATGGGGCAATCTGCTTCCGTAGTGATACTGCCTCGGAAACCCAAAGAGGGGTCGCTATGAGTTGGGTCTGACTTGACAGCAAACAACAACAACAACAATAAAGATACTAAATCATAAAAGACCATCAAATAGTACCAGTTTTCTTTTGCACCTTACAGATTAATACAACCATCCCATACACCACATACATGATAATTCAGTATGAATCATTCTACTTTGGTGAGCATGCACATTTTAGAAAATTACAGCATTTTTTCACAATGAACCAAGAGAGTTAAAACACCTGTTGGGGTCTTGACATGGAATCCAGTTCACATTAGGGTCTGGGATATCCTCCAAATAAGGGAAAATGGTTTCCCTGGTAAATGTCCATCCATAGAGTGCATCTTCTGGAGTCACGATAATTTTAGCACCCTGTTCAAAGCAAGTTAAATTAAAATGGTTCCTCCCCATGTAGTCTAGATCATTCAACACCAGCAAGTCCTGATGATACAATGCTTAAATGTTTGGCTGCTAACTGAAAGCTTATTGGTTTGAACCCACTAGTCACTCTATGGAGAAAAGACCTGGCAATCCACCCCCATAAAAACTTCAGCCTCAGAAACCTATGAGGGCAGTTCTACTCTAGCCTGTAGATTCCGATAACCTCAGAATCATCTCAATGGCATAAAACAGCAACCTTCTACCGGCTTCCATGCCTCACCCATGAATCCTGACCCCCAGAAAGAAAAGAATACCTCCTGAGCTGCCAGTTTTATCGCTTTCTCCAGAATATCTATGTTCTTGTTCATCAGGATCAAGGCATCTTCCCGAGAAACAGGTATTTCTGTTTTATTTGGCAATATGACGGCATGTTCATACACTGCAGCTATGAAAGTGTCCAGGGCACCGACATTCAGGGTGAGTAAGGCAAAAACTGCCGCGGAGGTCAGAAAAGAAGAAGTCATCTTGGTCAAGACCTAGTAATTTCTAGAAGTGAAAGTTACAGGCTTGTAGTACTTATAGAGAAGTGAACACTTACATAACTGTTTGCCACAGTGAGTGGTTTTTTTTTTTGGTTTTAGAATTTATAGTCTGTTTATATAGATCACTGCCAGTTTAACCTGCCAAACCAGTTACTGGACTTATATTTTATAACCTTATAAATCCACCAGCCACTCCTCAGAAGAAAGATAGGGCAATCCACTTCCGTAGTGATACCACCTGGGAAACCCAAGGAGGGGTCGCTATGAGTCGGACCCAACTTGACCGCAGTGAGTTATAAATACATATATCTGATCATTTTTGAGGGAAATAGTATTGTTATTTAATGAGTATAATCAAAAAGAATTAGAAGGATTGACCAATGTGTATCACTGATAAAATGTTTTGTTAGTTAAAAAAAAATTCAATTATAATGTAATTGTTGTTGTTGTTGTTATGTGCCGTCGAGTCGGCCCTGGCTCATAGCGACCCCTCCTTGGATTTCCGAGGCAGTATCACTACGGAAGTAGGATTGCCCAACCTTCCTTCCGAGGAGCGGCTGGTGGGTTTGAACC